TATAACACGAAAATACCAGATAATCTTTGAAACTAGCCTAAACAGGTATCCATTATCAAAGGAATATCCCGAGCTTTGAAGATGCAGATGTATAGCTTGAGAGTGATGATCATACTTGACACATAACTTGTTTCATCTAACTGCTCACAAGAAAGCGGTTTACGGTCTAGGGTGGCATGTAAACCGAGGAAGCACAAAGCATTCCGTGATGAGAAAAATAAATATTTCTCCTTGTCTTGATTCTGACTGTGTTTCTTCTTGTTTAGAAATAATATGGTTTATTCGTTCACGGAAAACTGATGATCCATTTTTATTAGAGTGCGTACGAAATAACAATTCAAAGTGGAAGTTTGTACAATTTTCTGCCGATCAAATATCGTCTCAAGTGCGCTTCTGTTTATTCGTTTTAATTTCATGACTCGCTTATGGGAGATTGATTACTCGTTTCTCGTTTCATTATGAAATTTTTATATTTTATTTCATGCCAGCTAATGTGGCGTTACTTTAATGTGCTTTCATAAGATGATTTACGTCTCCTGTTAAGGTTCGTGCGAATAATCACTGCTTCAATTTTACAATGCGATGAGCTTGTTCGTTGAATCTACCACGGTGATAATAGCAGATGCATCATCTTCTAATCGAATAATCCTATCGATATGAGATCAGTCTACTTTTCAGTCTATTTCGGTTCATCGGTGCTCATTGAAGCAACGGATTCTCAGTTAAGAACTAATGGTTCAAAAAAGTTGATTATAGAAATGAGTTTGAATTATTTCTGATAACCGATCAAATATTCATTGCATTCGTTTTCAGTGCAGTCGAGCATTCTTCTCTCCGCTTGTCATTAATGTGAACCTCTTGCGAAGTGCATAAAAATGATCTTAAAACGGCAAAAGATAAAACTGATGAGCACATCAGCGCTGAAAAAAGGATTCATGAATGAACTTGAGCCATGATGAAATATCGATATACTCTTCATATTTGATTTTGCTCATTCATCCATAGAACTCCATTACGTAGGACTCAGTTGTATATTTCTGCTCTATTACCAATTATCAGCATATCACTTGGGTGCATGCGCATACTACGAATTCTCTGACAATATTGGAACATTGATTTTTTTTGTTCTTGGGCAGTCATCATCACATAACTGACACCAGACTTGCTTGACCATACAATGAGCCAGTCATATTACAATCCATCTCATTCTGTTTGATTATATTAATGTCAATAAGTTGCTGTCGTATTTGTAAAATAAAGGGCTGTTCATTCCAATTTTCAGTCCATAAAAATCTTCGAAATTGCAATCAGAAATTTGGTAGAAAAAATTCAGTCGAGAAGCACATCTTCACTTTCGAATTCATTTTTAATATTGGTATTGCTTTGCTCCAATGCATTCTTCACAGTCGTCATTTTAAAAAACGTCACTGTTATGATACAGTCGTTCCTTATCTAACATTTCCTATTTTTCATATGAACGATTCATTGAGGAAGCGTTTGTTGTGCTATCCAGTTAACTGATCTGAACATTACATAATAATCTTACGATCATTTTTATGAAAACAAATTCGTCAAATATAGTATATAGTCAGCACACGTTCGTTCGACTGAAGACAATGCCCGAACTACCTTTCTTGGAATCAGTACATTCGTTTCGTTTGAAGATGATTGAAACAATTCATTGAGCCATTTACTTCGAAATTATTTACCAATTCTTTTTTGGTTTGCAAGCGCTTAATCGTGTGTTGATGGAACATCATACTGCTAAAGGAAAGCAATGCAGTGGCAATTATATGAAGCATTATATTGATTCCATTGCCCTTGAAACGAATGACGTTTTTATATTATGCTATCATACCATTTCTGAAGGTGTTAATATCGAATGCACTATTTTAATTTTTTCCCTACCCGGTAAATTTACCAATTTCGGTTCCCGATTCTCTTTATCTCTCCATGTTGAAAAATGATTCCGTATTTTTCCAGTATGCTTCTTTGAATGAAGCTTCTAAAGATATCGCATCGCGTATAACATCTTTTCTTTCTTAATTCACTGATGATTGAGTTAGTTAATGCTGTTACGCTCGTTTTCCTAAAAATGAAATGAATTAAAAGTTGCCTTCAAACAGAGTGCTTTTGATATTTTCCAGTCATCAAACAGGCTGATCCAATCAATCATGGTTTTTAAATCGAACCCCAATCTCAAAGAGTGATTCTAAATCAAAAATGATCTGTTGAAGTTTCTTTTTTTTTTGATTGTTAGGATCGGTAAAGCATCTGACAATGGTTTTTTTTGAACTGCTTCTTCACCTTTGTCATGTTTGTTGGTGCTGGAAACGGTTATGTGAAAGTCTGATTATGGTCAACATCATAATGTAATCACTTCTGAAGTAGGCTTATGAATGTAGTATGTGCAGCTGTTGTGATAATTTGCTGATTTGATGCACATAGCATATTTCATATTTAATTTCAGCACTTATTAATACACATAGCCTCATCTGACTTCAATTATTATTGCTCGTTTAGCTTTACACTCACGGTCATCCATCTTGATTATTTATCTCTTTGTGCTTGAGTTTCTTTAAAAGATCTGAGCGTAAGGATAAATGTCTGTTCTTGTCAACGCTTATGTACTTTTCGAACATTGAAGATATTCGTTCACTCAAAACTACCACATTTAAGCTAATCATCACGGGAATTGAAGATAAATCTTCAGTCACATTGGAATCCGGACATGAATGCTAACATAGAAAATCTAATAAGTCATTTAAAAATGCACTCGAGACATTTCTGTCGATTCATTTGAAGAGATTGATAAATTCTCGATGAACTGTGCCATACTTCTACCGCTCAACTCTCGACAGGTTCACATCATTAGAGCGTTTATTGCGATTTGAGAATGTTGTTGAAATCAGTCTATTGGTCTACCATTAATAACAACAATTAGGTAAAGAAAGCTGGTGATACTATTCGAATGGGCTCACCGATGATCATTTTTAGTGTTCTATATGGCTGAAAAACGACTTCTGTCGTTGAAGGTTTCGCATGAATTCATTTGAGGAAACAAATCGACGGAAAACATTTCATTTAGCGGTAAAATTAAGGAAAAAAATAGAGTTTTTAAACAAGATAAATTTTGCTGCGGTTGTAAGTATCATCATCAAAGCTGAATTGTGACAAGGTTTTTGAGTGGATCAGTGTCATAAATCAGCGAATATCCGTTGAATGCAATTATGTACACAGAGCAGAGCTTTACACTGATGACTGCAATTGTGTATCGATATATGTAAATAACTGCAATAGTATTAAATCAATTCGTCTTGAAATATTTGATTGTTTGTATGATGATAGGCGGTTCATATCCTCACAGAGACTTTGTATATGCAATGAATATCTTCAAAAGGATTGTTATATTCATAAATTGTTAGTATGCTGTTTCATATGTGACAAGATTATGATGCTTCTATTCAAAAGTATTTCAAACCGATTTATTTAAATTGAGACCCTTCTCGATTTAAGTTCTACCTCAATTATACGCCTTCTTTTCACAAACACCATACCACCAGTTTATGAAATGTGTGCATATGCTTACATGTACACAACTTGCGTTTCACAAAGAAATGATCTTTCATATGCTTGCCTTTAGCTTGAGTATAAGCTTTTGTTTTACTCAATTCTTAAGAGATGATAAGTAAAGTCATGACCTTTTGCGATATGTTTAACGATGTAAATGCGATGTTTCGTTTGGTGTAGACAAAGCGTCTTACAGCGCCGAAGCATTCAGTAGCACGTTGCGGAGATAATCAGCCATCAGTAAGGATCACATATAGTCGTTCAGCCAACACAGGGAGTGATTTAGTTCGCGTTTACCCCTCTTAACAAGATGCGTGAAAAGAACTGTTTCCCATGGAATTTTAACTTAATCACAGTGATTAAATGGATCTTGCTTGTTCAGGATGATTAAACCATTGACACGATTACGTTTCGCTATAAACAAGTGTTTCTCGCTAGAGTTTTATCTGTTTGTTTAATCATTACATGTTATTTGACGACGTTCCTCTGTATTCAGCGACTGTGCGAGGTGTCACTTTAAACTGAGTTGTTGAAGTCTCTAATTTAATGTCATCAAGTGTTTCAAAGTTTATCAAGAACATTCGGTGAGTGTGTGAAGCCGACTCGAAATTAGTCAACGGCTGTACAAGCTGAATGCAAGCAAAACAATGTCTGATTGCATCGAGAACAGAGCTGATTATTATGGTTTGTTTCTCTATTTGATCGCTTTCACTGATATCGTGTGAATTCGTCGTTTTTTGCAGTATGATCTTGATATTCACAATTTTTTATATCACAATTTGTGCTATTGCTCATAGAATCCACTGTGAAGCACGGTGCACTACAAATTTTCAGAATGACGAAACGGTTTGTATCAATCTCTAAGACGTAATCCGATCTTGTTTATAAAGAATCGATTTATATAGCTATCGGCATATATGTTTGAAAAATCGTGACCCCAAAACTTCCACCTACCTATTACCGGTTGGTAGTCTAACGGTTCGCCAAGAATGCGCTAATTTTGATTGCGTTCGTAGCTCATTGCAAGCATTAATGAACATTTCAAACCTTATCAGCATATTCATTCTGTGCACACTTTCAAGAATTATGAGTTCAGTAGGAGCTACAGTTTTCAAAATGATACGATCAGCTGCGTCCAATTTTATATCTACCACCAACAGTCTCGATTGAGATCAGCTTTAATTCATTTGTGCATTTTGGTCGGGCAGATGTGTTCAGTCAGATTGTAGTTAATCTTAACTATCACTACTGGTCCATTGTTTTTGAACCATAATGCATATGCCAATCGCACACTTTTGTGAAATGTATCAGAATCACTTCGGTGCTCCCTACAACATAATGAATTAGGTCTGTGATGATGGCTTCTCAATACTTATTTCATGAAATCAAAGGAGCTGTTTACTGTTTCATAATCTTTCGAAGATTAAGTCGACTTCTCCGAATCAAACGCCTTTTTTTCAGTGGATGATAAGGCAGCAGGAGAGGATGCAGATGATAATAATGTAACAATCCAAACGTTTACGAACGATGACACGGTGCGCGATTCGAGTCCAATCCGTGAAGCAACAAATAATCTGCATCGCCTTCGCTTTCGTATGCATATTACAAATCATTTCTATTATATATATATATATATA